CACAGCCCACATCAACGGGGTGGACGAGAGGTACGAACTCTGACCAGGCACGGCGTCCAACGCAAAGCCACAATGTCCGACAATTGCAGGAACTGGCCGGCATGCACCAGCCAACGCCACCTACGAGGAGGAGAGCATCGAAGGCTACCACGTCACACACGGACATGCCGCCACCCCCAGAGGCAATTGTCATTACACGACCACCTCATCCTGAGCCACCACTCTGGAAAGAACCATAATCCATCATGGTGCACGACATCGTGAAGACCTACGTCCATTTCACGACGTCCACGATCTGATGGCGCACATTTCCCCCGGCGTGCGCGCAGAAGCCAAGGAGCAGCTGATCAGCATGAGGTTCGCCTTCAACGACAACATCAAAGACGAGTACCATGGGGAACTCGAGCTAAAAGGCTTCGCAACACGCAGACCAACCATCGACATCATGCCATTCATTCACACTACACTACGAGACTTTCGATACAAGACCGTCCAAGAAAGACTGCATCACGCAACCACCATCACTCCCAAGTCGACCAACCGGGTCATCACAGCCAACCCGACCCATAGGACACCTGACCAAGGCGAGCCTCCACCACCAAATTGCCCTCCACCAACTGGACGGTTTCCCCCAGGGCCGTAGGCGACCCGAGGAGGGGAGGGCGAGGAGGGGGAGCAGGAGGAGGAGGAGGAGGAGGAGGAGGAGGAGGAGGAGGAGGAGGAGGAGGGGGAGGAGGAGAGAGGGGGAGGAAAGAGCGCCTAGGCCCTTCGGAGAAACCCTCCACCACCAACATTCTACCCACCCGACCACGTGACTCGGGACGCGCACGCGCTAGCACAAGCCCCCCTTAGCGATCCGACCTCCCGAACGGACTGCCCGTGCCACCCAACCACCGACTGCCCTTGCCACGCCCTTGCATCGCATGCGCATGCGGCGGCACGGAGCTCATGTGGAACGCCCGGGCCTACTTCTCTGGGTAGTCGAAGCCAATCTGGCGCCAATCTGGCAGGCCCAATCTGGCAAACGGGGGCAATCTGGCGAGGGAGCCAACGCGAATCCAGTCTGGCGAATAACCCAAATCATCCAGTTTGGCCGGGCCAGATTGGCCCTTGGGGCCCAATCCAATCTGACAGTCTGGCCTTCGACTACCCAGCTACTTCACCAAGAAATCCACATGGAGCGACACGGGCAACGTGCTGCTGAGCCCAGGGCGGAAGAGAGCTTCCCCCGCCGACAACGTCGACTTCTTCTACGACACCAACGGGCACGTCACGAACTACCCACCCATGACCAAGCGTGACCGTTGCCAGCCACACCCACCGCCACCTCGTCCGAGGCGAATGTTGTCATCACCACAAGCTCGGTCCCACTACGTCGACATACCCGCGCGTGCGACGATCGCCACGAGGTACCATGTCGAGAAAGAATTCGAGAACAGCGTGGATACCCTCAAGGCATCCGTTAACGATCTCAACAACAACGAGATTGGCTGCAGAACTGGTGCGCTCCGAAAGCCAAGGTGGCCGCTTAACGGCGCTACTCTTGAACAACCAACCAGGATACCCTGACGAAAAGCATATGGTGTCTTGATGCGCGTCCCCACTGTATCCCCTCCCCGACGGAGGAACCCCCAGGATGGCTACGCGACGGCCCAGCCGCAGGCGGCCGCCGCCGCCCCAGCGCGAGGTTCGCTCCTCGAGGCTCGATCGGCCGAGAAGCGGTCGATGGCGCGGGGGGGTTCGTCTTGGGGCCCGTGCGTGAGCCTTCGGAGGCCGCCAGGAGGCCCTGAAGGATCGAGGCTCGGTGTTTCTGGGTGCCTCTGCTGGGGAGCCCACAAAGGACGTACGGGCACAACTATGTACTTGAACGCGGCCCGTTGACCCACGAGACCGGCCGCGCGATACGAACATTCACGCAATGCGAACTCTGGAAACCAACGTGGATTCATGTACGTGTACGTCCTTCTGTCGCTGGCGCTCTGCATCTTCCAGGGGGCTTCGGAGAAGGCCAGGGGACTGCAGATTTTGAGCAATCTTTCAAAGCAGTCAAAATATGCACACTTGGAGGGGAAGAAAACGCGGACCATGACCAAGACTGGACGCGGAAACGTAGTGTCGATCTTGATCCGCGTCGATATTGGCCAGAGTCACCTGGTGGATCATCCTCGCGAGCCGGCGACGGCCGACACAGACCGTGACGCAGATCGGCATCGGCAAGATCCCGCGACATCTTGGTCATGGTCCCCGCTCTTATCCATCCAGTACTGTTGTTCTTTGGAGTCCCGAAACGGTGCGGTGACAGACCGTGAGGTGACCTCGAAATCCCACAAGACCTCACCGCACGGTTCGTCACCGCACGGTCTTGGGACCTCGGAGGCCCCCGTCGCCCGAGACGTCCTCGGAGAACGACCCGAGTCCCAAGACTGTGCGGTGGCCCCGAACCCCCAACGACTCACCGCACGGTGTGGTCACCGCACCGTTTGGGGGCCCCCGATGTTCATCAATTCGCGGAAAGCCCCCCCCGGAGGAGCCCCAGTGGCCCGCGGGGACGCCCGCAGGCGACCGCCGACACGGCAGGCCAGCGCGTCAGGGTCGACGGCTCGACTGGTCGAGGAAGGAGGCCCGATCGGTCAAGGATCGAGGTTTCTCTTGGGCGCTCTCTTTGCTTCTTTACGTGAGCGTTTTTTTTGTTGTTCTTTTTCTACATTGGGCGGAAGAGGGAGCGGCGGGGGGGGGGCTGGCTCTGGACCTCTGCTTAATGTGACTGTTTAGAACCGTGCGTCCTATGGGGGAGACTCCACCTACTCGAATCAGGCGCCAGAAACAGCCAAGACCTGAGCCATAGGGGGGGGGAGGGAGGGTGCGAAGGCCCGCGCCGAACGACAAACAATGAATAACAAAGGATCACCTTTCTTTGTTTCCTCACCTGGGAAGAAAAAGGAAGCACCAACGTAATCAAATCGGGAAGTCGGCTCGAATCGGCATCTGCGTCGGATCGGGCCGCATCGGCAACGACCCGCCATCGAACCGGATCGGCCGCACCAAGGCGGCACAACATCTCAGCGCACACTATCGGGCCACATCGCGGGTGGCCGGAATGACGGGCTCGAATCTGATCGGGCAGGACTTGATATCTAGGGGAACGAACAATGACGTAAACACATAAACTCGGAGATCCGCGCGGATTTATCGGATCCGCGCTGGACCCCCCTTCTTGGCGCGCGGAGCGCGCCAGGGGCGGCGCTAGAGGCGCCGCCAGGGGATGCTTGTGGCATGGTTCGTTTCCTTAATAAAGAACCGGATCGGATCGAAGCCGACCCTGGGAGAACGAGAGTGTGGAGCAGCAGAAGCGAGGGGGGGTGGATGCGCACCAAATGACAGCGGCGGCGGCGGCAACAAAAAAAACGGTGTCAGAGGAAGGGAGGCTGCTGCTCCTCCTCCTGCGAGCCCTGCATCAGCTCCCCTCCGCCGCGCCCTCCTTCCCCTCCCCCTCCCTCTCCCCCCTCTTCCTCGTCCTTCTCCCCCCCCTTCCTCCTCCTCCTCCTCCTCCTCCTCCTCCTCCTCCTCCTCCGTTCCTTCTCCTTGTAGATAACTCCTCCCTGTCGCACCCCGAGGCCAGTTGTTACGGAGGGCGGGTGTTTCGCCTAAGATTTCCTGACCATTTATGACTCTGAAGCTCAAACAGTGTCAACAACTTCGCAGATGGAGGGCGGGTCGCTTTCAAAATGTGGCTCTGGCCTTAAGCGCCGTGCACATGCGTTTTTTTCAACAGAGCTTCACGGATTGAGGGCGCATCGTTTTCAAAATGTGGCTCTCGCCCTAGTGCCGCGCACATTCTTTTCAAAAAATTGCAAGAGCTTCACACATTGAGGGCAAGTCGTTATCAAAAGGTGTGTCTATCCTTAGCGCCGCGCGCATTCGTTTAAACAATCTGCAAGGGTTTCAGGAATTGAAGGCGGGTGGTTTTCAACATGTGGCTCTCGCCTTGGCGCCGGGCACAAGTCGTTCAAACAATTTGCAAGCGTTAAACGAATTCCCATGATCAACGCATCAGAAACGATTTTTTGGAAGGAGTCCGGACTATGTTGATTCGCTGCGGTGAAATCCCAACAATAATGGCTGTCTGGTACGATTCTGGATCGTCAAGACGCAGCAGTCAGGTTGATACGTGGCGTTGAAATCCCGAGAACAATGTTTTGGCACGCTTCAGGATCTTCAAAAGGCTGTCTTCCAACGAGGCAGTTCCATCAATGAAAATGAACGAAGGGGCCTATGAAGAGGGAGCTTGGAGGGAGGGTTAATTCCAACATCGTTGATGACTCTTGGGCTTCCAATGGCCCTCCTCCTCCTCCTCCTCCTCCTCCTCCTCCCAGGGGGCTCCTCCAGCCTATGTTCCTCCTTCCCCTTCAACTGCCCCCCTCAGTTTCCTCCCCCCCCTTTCCCCCGCATCATTCTGTCCTGATGCTGGTGAGTCCGACTCCACGATGGTGCCCCGACGGCGCAACAACCGCCGCAAGGCCTGCATCCGCTTGACATGGCCATACATCATACCGTCGGGCCGTCCCCTCTGTGTCTCTGTTTGTCTCTGTATGCCTCTCTGTCTGTCTCTGTCCCAGTACCTCTGTTATGTTGGCTGTCTGTCTCTGTATGTCTGTCTGTCTCTGTATGTCTGTCTGTTTTTGTATGTCTCTGTAAGTCTGTCTGTCTGTCTGTCTGTCTGTCTGTCTGTCTGTCTGTCTGTCTGTCTGTCTGTCTGTCTCTCTCTGTCTGTCTGTCTGTCTGTCTGTCTGTCTGTCTCTCTTTCTCTCTCCCTGCCTCTCTCCCTTTCGATCCTCCACCTCGGACTCTGCCTCCGCCTGTGCCTACATCTCTCGCTCTGCCCTCTACTCACTCCCTCACTCCTGCTTCGCTCGATCGTCCTGCCATCCCCCCTCCCTCGCTCTTAGCTCGAAGGCAAGAAGTTACCGCATAGAAGAGCTGGGAAACTTGGGACGCACTTTCCTGAACTCGGCACACACACGGGATGATCTGGAAATACTCTAGGCCAAACCTAGCGACAAAAGCGCGTAAAGGTCAGGGAGCGATTCCGTGAGAACAGTACTCACCACCATGAACGCCCGTACAACGATACGCTGTTCAAAAAACAAAGCCAAACCCAATAATGATCACCCGGTCGCAATGCGGCCGTGCTTCCAATTTGCCTCGGACGCCTCAACAACACAACCGCAAGGTCGGCCCAGAAGAGCCCGGTGGGCCCAAGGTTCCCCAGAATGCCCTAGGATAGCCCACAGAGGCCTCCCACGAGGTGATCGTTCAGACTCCCAGCGAGGAAATGTGATTACATCCGCATGTTGGGCCAATGGCTTCCAGCATGACAGTGCCCCGAAGAACCTCAGAAGGACCCCACGAAAGCCCCATGATGGCTCCAGCAGGCCTCCAAGGGGTCCCCAAAGTGCTCAATTCGTGCTGCTAGTGGCGCGCAATGTCAAAGGGTATACGTCCACCTCGGAGAGAATCATCATGTATGAAAGTACCAATGAAGCAAGGTACTAGATTCAATGATCATCATATGTCGAAGATGAGTTTGTCTGCCGTCCCGACCACCCTCCAAACGAGGGAAAGCCAACAATACACATCTATGTGAACTGCGTCACGGATTCGGCAACTTCGGGACGAAGAGCACCTTCGCGTCGTCAGTCTCACAGTACCTGTCCCAGACGTACTTGCGCGCTTCGCAGTCTGCTTGGTCGAGGTCGTGCGCTTCGGCCCACGAGTCGAGCCTCCACGCGTGCGTCTCCATTGGCTTGCCGGGGCACCCCGAGGACATGCGCATGTAGCATCCGGGCGACGTGGGGGTACCGACGAAGGCGTCGGAGGCATCCTGGGCAATAATCTTCTGAGCGCTGGCGCCGGGCTCCTGCTCCGTCGCCACGGCGGCCTGCGCTTCCTTTGGCGGAAAACACAAGTGCACAAACAAGTTAATTAGCCCGGCAACGTTTCCAGCAACGCATGCTGTGCAAGCTACGTTGGGCAAGTCGACGTGGTGCAGTGAAAGCCGTGCAACGTATGTTGTACAATCTATGATATGCACTTTACAGGGTGCAACGTAAGATGCGCCATCTACGTTGTGGACTTTATGTAATGCAACCTGGGTGGTGCAACCAATGTGGTGCAATCTATGTGCGATGCACACAACATGTGGTGCAATGTGTTTTGTTCTACGAACGGGCTGCCACATCCCAAGTTTTTGCGATCATCCCACCGACCCACCCGCAACTTTCTTTGCAAACCCCAAATGGCGGCGGTTGCGATGAGTGCTTAGCGTTGGTTGGCGCATCTCTGCGGCCGTGCTAGCCCGCGAATGCTCGCGCGAACAGCAGCCAACCAGTTTGGCGCGACGGACGCGGCAGTGGTGGCGCTTACCACTGGGCAGTTCCCAGCGGGCACTTCAATGTTCAATGCGAGTCGTTGACTTGGGTAGGCGCGGTACATGGCGACGCCGACGACCATAGACACGACTATGGTACTAGCGATGATGGTGACCCGCGCGAGTGGCCCGCGTGGCAACAGTTAACACGGACCGTGCCCCCCCCCCCCCAGCACGCGCGCAAGGGCTTCTGAGTGTGTTCGACATCCGGCCCGAGAGGTCCGCTTGGCATAACATTATGAACATGTTGAAAAATCGTGCTTCCCCTGAGAATCCACCAAAACCGCGGGCGCAGGCTGTCTGCTATTCTTGATATAATTCTGCACAGGGCGTCGAAAAATTCCGACATCTTTACTTCGGCACGGCACCCCCTCCACCACCCACCCAATCCACCCGCCAACGCACCCCCGGTGCGCCACCATCTCTCCCGCCCCATCCCCCCACCCACAAGCCAGCGCGCCCCTCCCGTCCCGGCCCTATTGTTTCGGCGCGCCCCCCCCGCCCCCCACCCCCCCCACGCGCGCCCCCTTCCGCGCCCCTCCCCGCGCGACCCCTCCGCCCCGACCTTTGCATTTCGGCGCGCGCCCCTTCCAGCATCCCGCGCGCCCCCTCCGCCCCGACCCTTTCATTTCGGCGCGCCCCCCCCCCGCTCCGCGGGCGCCCTCCGCGCCCCCCCGCTCGCCAGCCAGCGCGCCCCCTCGGCCCCGACAACCCATTTCCCGCGCGCCCTCCCGCGCGCCCCCCCGCCCGCCAGCGCCCTCTCCGGGCCCCCCCCCTGCCCGCCAGACGGCGCGCGCCCTCCGCCCCTTTCTTTGCGTTCCGGCGCGCCCCCCCCCCCCGCCGCCCCGCGCGCCCCCCGCCCCCCCGCCCGCCCACTAGCCAGCGCGCTTCCTCCGCCCCGACCTCTGCACTTTCGGCGCGGCCCCCCCATCCCGCGCGCCCCTCTCCGCGCCCCCCCGCCCGCCAGCCAGCGCGCCCCCTCCGCCGCGAACCATTCATTTCGGCGCGGCATTCCGCCCACTCCTGCGCCGCCGCCCCCCCCGCCAACCAGCGCGCCCCCTCCAAACCGACTCTGTTAATTCTTGACACTTCGCGCATCCCCACCAGCCCACCCAGAAACGATCAGCAGGGGAGTTGGTGAATCAGGGGCGGCAGAACGCATGCAGTCGCGCAGCCGTCTTCGAGAACACAAGCATCACACGTAGCTTCCTGCATTGAAGTTTAAGATGGACATCGGTGCAAATTACGATGGTGCTTCGATGAGAGGTGAGGGGTATTTCAATGACTCGTAGTGGCTGTGGCACTGATTTGTATATTAAACTCGCGTGCGTTCCGAAACTTGCAGGCACCTTGGGGCCCTCCTGGGTTTCTCTTGGGCCCCTCTGGGGGCTCTCTCTTGAGGCTCTCCTGAGGTCCTCCTAGGGCCTTCTTGGGGCTTCTTTGGGCTCTCTTGGGGCCCTCCTGGGGCTCTTTTGGAAGGTCTTGGAGCCCTCTTGGGGCTCTTTGCGGGGTGGGCGGGGGGGGGGGGGGGGGGGGGTATTGGAGGCCTCTCGGGGCCGTCTTGGCCCGCATGGCTAAAGAAGGGGGGGGCCTTCAATTCTCCCCCCCCCCCCTCGGAGGCTCAAATATGCAGTATTGGGACCCTCTTGGCCCGCTCTGGGAGCGCTCTCGGGCGCTCTTGGGGCCGTCTTGGGGCTCTTTCGGGGCTGTCTTGGGCCATCTTGGGGCCATCTTGAGGCCTCAAAAGCTTTTCGGATGCGAAAAAGCGAGAAGGCAACAAAACATTGATTTTCCGCAGGCTTTTAAAACATGTTGGTCTCTTGGGGGGGGGCCCTTGGAGGCCTCGGAGGGCACTTGAAACCGTCTTGGGGCCGTCTTGGGGCCTCTTGGACGCGCGTCGGAGGCTATCTTGACCCGTCTACCGCTATCTTGGGTCATCTTGGAGGCCATCTTGCGCTCTCGGAGGCCCCCTTGGAGCCATCTTGGGCCATTTCGGACGCTGCTATGCCCCCCCCCCCCCAGTCCAAACGAAAAAGGAAACGCCCTAGACCACCTGCGCCGCCCAGAGGGCTGGTGGGATTCGGCGCGCCCCCCCCCCCGCCCCGCGCGTCCTCCGGGCGCCCCCCGCCCGCCGCCCCGCGCGCCCCCTTCCGCCCCGACTCCTTGTTCTCGGCGCGGCCCCTCTCGCGTCGAAAACAAGGAGTCGGGGAAACGAATATGAACAAAGAACGAAGCCTCCCTCGCTTTCATAAACGAATAATAAATATGCAAGGAACGGCCGGGCCCCTTTTTGGCAGCGCCCCCTCATCGTTGCCTCTCGTTTCGACAGAGACCCCGCCGCCCTCTGCCGAGACCTGAAGGGCGGGCGCCCGCGGCAAAGCGCCACCGGTGAGCGCCGCGCAAGGAACGGCCAGGCCATTGCTCATATTAAAAATGGACGCACGAGTGGAGAGAGAGAGGGAGAGAGAGAGAGAGAGAGAGATAGATAAAAAAGAGAACAACAAAAAGAGAGAGAGAGAGAGAGAGAGAGAAAAAGAGAGAGAGAGAGAAATAAAAGAGAGAGAGAGAGAGAGAGAAAGAGAGAAACAAAAACATAAATATAAAAAAGAGACAAATAGAGAGATAGAGAGACAGAGATAGAGAGAGAGAAGAGGAGAGATATACCAAAAGAAACCAACAAAGAAAGAGAGAGAGAGAGAGAGAGAGAAAGAAAGAGACAGAGAGAAACAAACAAGACAGCAAGAAAGGAAGACATAAAGCAAGAGAGGGAGAGAGAGAGAGAGAGAGATAGAGAAAGAGGGAGAGAGAGAGAGAGAAAAATAGAGTGAGGAATTTAGAAAGAGAGAAAGGAGAGAGAGAGAGAACACGGAAAAAAAAAGAAAGAGAGAGAGAGAGAGAAAACAAAAAGAGAGGGAGAGAGCGAAACATATATATATGTATATATATATAGAGAGAGAGAGAGAGAGAGAAAAAAAAGAGAGAGAGAGAGAGAAAGAGAGAGAGAGAGAGAGAAAGAGAGAGAAAAAGAGAGGGAGAGAGCGAAACATAATGAGAGAGAGAGAGAGAACAAAAAAAAAAGAAAGAAAGAGAGACCCGACGGCCCCCATGGCCAACGTTGGACATGCGTCGATCGCAAGGAACCGACGGGCTCGCGTGAGGAACTGGGCCTTGACGCCGCCGCTGCTCTGTCCGGGCATTCGCGTGAGCCTCGAAACGCGCCGCGCAAGGAACGGCGGCGCCCATGTTGCAAGTTGGGCGCGCCATTGACGAGTCCCGAAGGCCCCCGAGCATCAGCCCCGCGACTCCAACGAAGGACCCATGGGGGCCCATCCAGAAGGAGAGAACTTGTAGGGCGCGCCCAGGAACCCAAGGGGCCCAGCTTCCCCCGAAAGAAAAATCCCCGGCGAGGGGTTCGAGCACGGGGGGGCCCCAACGATGGAGACATGTTTGGGCAGGCGCGCAAGCCTCAAACCGCGTCGCGCGAGGAGCCGAGAGGCCAGCGCCAACAACTCGGCCCTAGCGTTGCAGATTTCATGTTCGGGCATGCGCGTGAGCCTCAAAACGCGTCGCGCAAGGAACCGAGAGGCCGGCGCCAGGAACTTGGTCCTAACGTTGCAGATGTCATGTTTTGGCACGCGCGTGAACCTCAAACCGCGATGCGCAAGGGCCGAGGGGCTTGCGCGAGAAACTGGGCCCTAGCGCGACCACTTTTATATATGGTTATACATGCGAACCTCAAGGCGCGCGCCGCATGGGGCGGGCCAAACGAACCCGCGGGGCCCCGTCCCTCAGATCACCTGCCCCGTTCGGCGAATCGATTGCGCGCGCGCGCCGTGACCCGCGGAGCGCCGATGGGGGCTTCGCGGCAAAATGGCGATGGAACGCCAGCAGACCCAAGGAGCCACCGAGCCCCTTCCGAGCCCGAGCTGGACCATATTTCAAGAGCCTCATTGTGTCACCCGCCCACCAGCCAGAGCCCCACCTCCGCCCCGAACCCTCTGATTTCGGCGCGGCCCCGCCCCGCCCCGACCCCTCGCGACAGGCCCCCCCCCGCCCTCCCGCCCGCCAGCCAGCGCGCCCCCGCCCGCCAGCCAGCGCGCCCCCTCTCCAACCCGACCCCTTTGTTGCGGCGCGGCACCGCCCCCTCCGCCCTGACCCCTTGCATTTCGGCACGGCTCCGCCCCCCCCATCCGGCGCGCCCCCTCTGCGTCGCCCCGCCCACCAGCCAGCGCGCCCCCTCCGCTCCGACCACTTCATTTCGACGCGGCGCCGCTCCCCCATCCCGAGTGGCCCACCCCGTCGCCCAGTCCACCAGCCAGCGCGCCCCCTCCGCCTCTTCCTCCTTTCCTTCGGTGCAAGAGCCATGGCGCGCGTGCCGCTTGTTTCTGTGCGTTGAAAACTCTTGCTGCAAAACCGCATGTTTGTTATATGAATTCGGGGCACTCGTTTTTGAATTCCTTGCGAAACCTAAGGTTAATAAGGATGCCGGCGTGCGCGCGCGGGTCGCCCCGCTGTCAGCAAGGGGCTGCTACGACTGCGCGCGCGCAAATGGCGCCCCGGCGATTTCGGCACGCGCGCGCGAAAGGCCAGTTGGACAACGCGATATGAAAACGTTGAGAGCAAACCTTGGTTCGCTTGAGAATTCGCAAAAGCGCGGGCGCAGTTGTTTTGAAAACCCTCGTTGCGAAACCACGCGTTCTCTTATGTGCACAGGACACTCGATTTTGAAATCCTCACGACACCTGAGGTGTCCGAAAAACTTCGGCATGCACGCGCGACGACGCGCGCGTGCACTGTTTTCTCATGTGTTGCAAGGGGGGTTGGGAAACTCATTAAGTTTGATACACGCATGTGCGCCCATCGTATTCTTTGCAGAACGATGAGGGGGGTCGGGGCGCACTCCGGCCTGGCTGGGGTAGCACGGACTCACGTTCGAAATGGACGATGGAACAAAATCATGTGTGACTTACACTAGGAAAACATGTTCCGTGAACCCCCGGGAGGAGCACCCAACACTCTTTAAGAAAAAAGAACTGGCGTGGTGCAGTCTGTGCGGCGCAAATGTGTGGTGCAATCTATTTATGCAGTCAATCACTTGCGAAGCTGTCCTCTCCACTGCTCGTCCAAACATCCCACCCTCCCGCCCGCAACTTGGTCGCAAGACCTCTTAAGACCGTGACGGTGGGTACCAGATGGCACTTGACAACGACACCGGCGCCGACGACGACAGCGACAACGACGACCAGGCCGACAACGACTACGACGACACCGACAACGTCTCCAACGATTTCGACGACGACGACAACGACGACGACGACAACACCGACGACGACGACGCTGACGACGACGACAATGACAACGCCGACGACGACGACGCCGCCGACGACGACGACAACGCCGACGACAACGACGACGACGACGACGACGGCGACGACGGAGACGACGACGACGACGTCGCCAACGAAGACGACGACGACGACAACGAGGGAGGACGGAGGACGACGACGGCGACGACGACAACGTCGAGGAAAGCGGGAAGACAACGATGACGACGACGACGGCGACGAAGCAGGAGGGACAACGACGAAACGCCGACAAAGACGAGGAGGGAGGAAGGACGACCACGGAGACGACGAGGACGGAAACGACGACGACGCCGAGACGACGACGACGACGAGGAAAGACAGAGGAAGACGACGGCGACGACGACGACGACGACGGAGGAGGGAGGACGGCGACGACGATGACGACGACGCGAAAGCGCGGGCGCACGCTTTTGTTGAACATCCGTGATGCGAAACCTTGTGCTTTTGTATGCTTTTTTGGACACACGATTCGAAATCCTTCTGAAACCGACGGTTTTTGAAGGATTCCGGCATGCGTGCGCGACGACTCGCGCGTCTGCACTTCGTCAATTATCTGTTGCAGATGATTCTCGCGACGGCACGCGCGCAAGGGCGTTCGAAAGATTTCGACATGCGCGCGCGAAACCCGTTTGGTAGTGTGTCTTGAACATGTTACCAAATCGATGGTTTAGGTAAGATTTCGCAAGAGCGCGCGCGTAAGCATTCCTAAAGCATCAACGTTGCGAAAAAAATGTTTTTAACATGTGTTTTGGAAACTTGATTTTGAAATCTTTCCAAAACCGGAGGTTCTTGAAGGATTTCGGCATGCGCGCGCGACGACGCGCGCGTGCGCAGTTTGTCACATTATTGGCAAGGGATTCTTAAACATTTCGATTTTTTATAAACGAGAGTGCGCGCATAGTATGTTTTGCAAAGGATGGCGGGGGGAATGAGGCCTGGCTGATATAATATGAACTGGTGTTTCAGGATGGACGAGCGTGCAGACTAAATACGAAATCGCAATACCCCAGGGGGTACGGTTAACTCCAGGGGGGGTAGAGTCTATTCTGTTTTAAGCAAGGAGACCAGTACATGTTGTGTAATACGTTGTGGGATTTATTTTGTGTATCATATGTGGTGCATTCGATGTTGCGCAGTCGGCATGTGCAATCTGTTGTGGATCATCTGTTGTGCAATCTGTTGTGCGGTTTCTGTTGTGGAACCCCGGAGCTCCCGACCACCTCCACGCGGCAAACCTTCCCACAAGCATCCATGTTTGAGGGCCCGAAAAGAGCCTCCCAGGACTTAAATCGATGAGACAACACCGCGATTCACAAACATGAATTCGATCAGCGGCCCGACAAACAGGGGCCCTCATGAGCCCAAGATGGTCGTTATGTCAACGCCTTGACTGTATGGGAAGGATCCGGCCTGCGATGAGGTCTCATTGATGATGCCGAGATCGGCCCCGATGTGCACTATCTTGGTGTCATTGGACTCGCAGTATCTGTCCCAGTAGCCCTTGGCGGAAACCGAAAACTCAGGCAGGGCCAGGGCATCCCTTGCCCTTCCTCCCCAACCGTCTACTTCTCCTCTCCTCCTCATCCCCCCGTCCTTCCCCTACCCATCCTCCTCGTCCGCCTCCTCGCTCTCGTCTCCTCCTCGTCCTCATCATCATGACCATCAACATCAACTTCAGCATCAACATCAACATCACCGTAACTGTCACCATCACAATCAACATCACCGCCAGCTTAATCACAACCGTAACCAACACCATCACCACCACCCTCAACCTGAACTTCACCCTCACCCTCACCGCCACCACCATCATGAGCATAATCATGATCATGATCATGACATCGCCATCCTTGCCATCATCATGATCTTCGTCGTCGTCGCCACCATCGTCATCGTCATCATAATCAAAATCGGAATCGTCGTCGCCGATGCGACCATCATGATCAACATCACTATCAGCATCAACGTCATCATCATAATCATCAACATCATGACCATCGCTACCACCATCATTACCATCGTCATCCGCAACATTATCATCAACATCATCAGCATCATGCCTGTAATCATCACCATAATCATGATCAACATCAGCGCCACCACCATCATCACCATCAGTATCATCAGCACCATCATCAGCACCATGATGATCATCGTCCGTATCGCTATCGTCATCGCCCTCGTTACCACAATCATCATCATCATCACCATCACCATCACCAAAATCATCATTGTCATCATCCTCAACATTACCACCATCACCGTCACCATCACGATCGTCATCATCATCGTCATCATCATCATCACCATCAGCGTAATGATCATCATCATAATCATCATCAAAACCACCAACAACCCCATCGTCATCCTCCCGCCTCTGCCTTCCGTCCTCCTCATCCTGCTGCTACAAAATCTCATGTTCATCCTCATTCTTCAATCCCCCTCCTTCTCCCTCCCACTCAATCACTCTTAACTGTCCCGATGCGGGGCTCTGGCCAATTTCTGGACCCTGGGCCTTACGGTCCTTGCACCCCGCCTCGTCGAGTCCGTTCTCCTCGGCCCAGGTGTCGTGCCTCCACATTGACGTAAATTGTGGCTTTGCGGGGCACTTTGAAGGCTGGCGGAAATAGCACCCGGGACGCGACGGGTACCCGTTGATGATCCGGTTCTGCTTCTCCTCGCCCTCGTTCTCCTCATGGGAGGAAGAAGCACGAGCGGCAGCAGCAGGCGAGAAGGAGGGTGCGGACGACGCCGTACAAAGAACGATGAATCATATGCATATGGAACCTAACAGTTACGATGAAGAGTCCTAAGAATATGCAGACGACTAATAGGTACGAGCATGTGGGGGCGAGCAGACACACACACACACATCTATGCATAGTGCATACACATGGATATAAACCTTCATCCTCGAGCCTCGATCTTCGAACCTCAATCGTCCCCGCTGCATCGCCGAACCTTCGAGGCGAGACGGGGCGGATTCACCACCTGTCGACCACCCGACGCAAGCGCGACCTCTGGCGCCCGGCATTGCCACTGGCTGCGTGCGATGCGACAGAATGGCGACCTGAACCCGCGAGCGTCCAACAGGGGGAAAGCTCAAACGGGGGCCTCGCAAATCATGGCAGAGGGGCAAGGGAGGAGGGCGAAACGGGACACACCGAAGTAAGACGCGAGGGCGCCACGGAGTCTGGGGAGATGCCATGGGGTCGGCCATGACGTCCACCCCTCCTGCCCATCACCCCCCCCCCTCCCTGGACGCCTCCAATGCACGCCTGGGCTTGGGTAGGGCGTGTCCTCCTACAGGCGGATGTTGGACGAGCATTTTCTTAAACACGTCAAACAAATACATACTAAGAAAAATCGTCCCCTGATGTTTTTGCTATGTTTGGATACTCCTCCCGTAGATGGACGCGCCCGACTTGGGAGTTGGCTCGGGCATCCCCGCGTTCAGTTGGGTTTACGAAACCCATGTGATCGCGATGACTGATTCGCGTTGGCTGGCGCATCGCTGCGGCCGCGCTAGCGCGCGCAGGCTCGCGCGCACAACGGCCAGCTAGTTTGGCGGGACCGAAAGGCCCGCGGTAGCGCTGACCACTGGGCACTTCCCAGCGAGTCTCGCAAGCCGCGCTGACGCGCGGGAGCTTCAATGCGACTCGGTGACTCGGACTGGCGCGTATCATGACGACGTCGACAACGGCAGGCGCGATGACGATAGTAGCGATTATGGTGGCGGGGATGCCGATGACGACGGCGAGGACAATGACGGCGCCGATGCGGATCACGCCTGTGACGATGATGGTGTCCAAGTGTCGGCGATGACGGTTCGGAATGATATCGGCATGCGTGATGCCGACGGGGGCAACTGGCCCGTTTCATATTTTTGACGGGGAAGCAAACAGTGTGGTGAGCCATGTGACGCAAGCTGTGTGGTGCATTCAAATGCGCGAAGAGCTTTCGATTATAAATTCCAGAGCCTGCGCAATCATCCCAATCACGTTCTTGCAACTTGCGTAGCGAAAGCCATGCGGCGACGATTGCGCTGGCTGCTTGGGGCTGGCTGGTGCAGCGTTGCGGCCTCGCTAGCCTGCGCAGGCTCGCGCACACAACGGCCAGCTAGTTTGGCGCGGCCGGCGATACAGCGGTGGCGCTGACCATTGGGCACTCCCCAGCGCGGCTCGCAGGCCGCGCTGACGCGCGGTTACTTCAGTGCGAGGCGGTGACGTGGGCGGGCGCAGTATCATGGCGACCTCGGCAACGGCGGAAACGATGATGATAATAGCGACTCTGGTGGCGAGGATGACTTCCAATGACAGTGACGACGGCGAAACCAATGACGGCGCCGATGCTGATAACGCCGATGATGACGATGATGTCCACGAGTCGGCGATGACGGCTCGGAAAGATCAAGACATGCGCGCGGGGCCCCCAACACGCGAGCAAGGGCGATCGAATGATTTCGACATGCGCACGCGAGAAGTTCGCACGGTAGAATGTAATCAAACATGTGTGAAACAAAACCAATGGTTTCCTTCAGAATTCACAAAGAGCGCGCGCGAACCTTTTTGACACACCATGTTACCTAACCGTGCGCTTTCTGCGTGTACGGGACCCTTGGTTATTCAACTGATTTCGGAATTCGCTCGCGACGGCGCGGGTGAATACCTCGCCCCTTTTTGTTGCAGGGGGTCTTGCACATAGATGGTGTAATAAACACACGTGCGCACAACAATCTTGCTGACGAAAAAGAGGGGGAGGTCGAAACCGGCCTAGCTGGGATTGTATATATTCATATTTGAATCGCACATCCCCTGGCCGAGCGAACTAAACCTGGGGGGGCGTGATGGATCCAAATTCCTTTGTTTGGTTGGAAAGGACAATCTAAGAGGTGCTGTTAATTTCTGTTCGCAGTGAGTTGTCCACCCCACTACTCGCGCAAACATCCCACCCACCCACCCGCAACTTGGTTTGCAAAATCTCTTCAGACCGTGACGGTGGGTACCTAATGGCACTTGGCAACGACAGCGACGCCGACGACGACAGCGACAACGACGACGACGACGCCGCCGACAACGACTACGACGACACCGACGACGTCTCCAACGACTTCGACGACGACGACGACAACGACGACGACGACGACGACGACACCGACGACGACGACGACGCCGACGCCGACGACAACGAAGACGACGATGACAACGACGACGACGATGACGACGCCGACGACGACGACGACACCGACGACGACGACGTCGACGTCAACGACGCCGACGACGACGACGACGGCGACGACGACGACGGCGGCGACGACGACGACTACGACGACACCGAGGCCGAAGACGACGACGACGCCAACGCCGACGACGAAGACGACGACGACGTCACCAACGAAGACGACGACGAGTGAGGAGGGAGGACGACGACGGCGACAACGACGACAACGGCGACATCGACGAGGGAGGAGGGAGGACGGCGACGACGCGAACGACGAAGAAGGAGGAAGGACGGCGACGCCAACGACGACAACGACGAGGGAGGAGGGAAGACGACGACGACAACGACGACGACGACGACGACGGCGACGAAATAGGAGGGACGACGACGAGACGCCGAGACGGACGACGACGACGACGAGGGAGGAGGAGGAAGGACGACCACGGCGACAACGACGACGGAAACGACCACGACGCCAAAGAGAACGACGACGACGAACACGAGGAAAGACAGAGGACGACGTAGGCGACGACGACGACGACGACGCGGGAGGAGGGAGGACGGCGACGACGACGACGACGCAAGAGCGCGCGCGCACGCTTTTGTTGAAAATCCGTCTTGCGAACCCGTGTTTTTTTGTAGGCTTTGTGGACACACGATTTTGAAATCCGTCCGAACCCGATGGGTTTTCACGGATTTTGGCATACGCGCGCGACGACACGCTCGTCTGCACCCCGTCCAATGTTTTGCAGGGGGTTCCCGCGGGCGTTCGACCGATTTCGACATGCGCGTGCGCGAAGCCCGGGCGGTAGCATGTTGTGAAAATCGTGAAAAACCTATGGTTCCCTTAAGGTTTCGCAAGAGCTCGCGCGTAAGCTGTTTCAGCAAGTCAGTGTTGCGAGAACATGTGCTTCTGTATGTTGTTTTGGAAACTCGATTCCGAAATCGTTCCGACACCGAAGGTTTTTGGAGGATTTCGGCATGCGCGCGCGACGAAGCGCGCGTGTGTATTTCGTTCCATGTTTTTGCAAGGGATTCGTGAAAAAGTGTTATGGTAGAACAAGAAATGTCACCGCATAGTGTTGTTTACACGGGAACCTCGGGGGGGAACCCGGCTGGCCTGGGACATTGTGATTTCATATTTGGGATGGACATGTGGTCATAATCATATGTGATTTACATACCCGAGAGGGGTAGCGATAACGCCGGGGGGGTAGAGTCTATTCTCATTTGAGAAAGAGAATTCAATGATTTTTGCCTATGATTTGACACATCCCACGCTCTTGCAACCATCCCACACACCAACCCGCAACTTGGTTTGCAAAACCTCTTAAGACCGACTGCGACGACATCGACGACAACGACTACGACGACACCGACGACGTCTCCGACGATTTCGACGACGACAACGACGCCGACGCCGACGACGACGACACCGACGACGACGACGCCAAAGAGACGACGACGATCGAGGATGAAGGACGACGACGGCGACAACGACGACAACGACGACAACGACGACAACGACGAGGGAGGAGGGAGGACGGCGACGACGCGAACGACGAAGAAGGAGGAAGGACGGCGACGCCGACGACGACAACGACGAGGGAGGAGGGAAGACGACGACGACAACGACGACGACGACGACGGCGACGAAATAGGAGGGACGACGACGAGACGCCGACGACGGACGATGACGACGACGAGGGAGGAGGAGGAAGGACGACCACGGCGACAACGACGACGGAAACGACCACGACGCCAAAGAGGACGACGACGACGAACACGAGGAAAGACAGAGGACGACGTAGGCGACGACGACGACGACGCGGGAGGAGGGAGGACGGCGACGACGACGACGACGTCGCAAGAGCGCGCGCGCACGCTTTTGTTGAAAATCCGTGTTGCGAAATGTTGTGTTTTTGTAGGTTGTTTTGGACACACGATTTTGAAATCCTTCCGAAACCGATGGGTTTTGAAGGTTTTCGGCATGCGCGCGCGACGACACGCGCGTCTGCACTCCGTCCCATTTGTCGCAGATAATTCTCGCGACGGCACACGCGCAAGGGCGTTCGACAGGTTTCGACATGCGCGCGCGCGAAGCCCGTTTAATAGCATGATGTGTAAATCTGGAAAAGCCTATGGTTTTCTTAGGATTTCGCAAGAGCCCGCGCGGAAGCTTTTTTAGCAACTCAGTGTTGTGAAACCCCATGTTTTGGAATGTGTTTTGGAAACTCGATTGCGAAATCGTTCCGACACCGAAGGATTTTGAAGGATTTCGGCATGCGCGCGCGACGACGCGCGCGTGCACTTCGTCCCATTTCTTGCAAGGGATTCGCGACAAAAACCTTATGTTAGAACAAAACATGTCACCGCATAGTGTTTTTTGTTTACCAAGGAACCTCAGGGGGGGGGAACCGGGTTGGCCTGGGACGTTGTGATTTCATAGTTAGGATGGACATGTGGTCAGAATCATATGTGCTTTACATACCCGAAAGGGGGGGCGACAACGCCGGGGGGGGGTAGAGTCTTTTCTGTTTTTCAGAAAGGAGAATCAACATTATGCAATATGTGTGTTGGGCTATACGCTGCGCAGTTCATGTGATGCGATACATGGTGTGCAATATGTGTGGTGCAACAGATGTGGTACAATCTATGCAGTGTACTTCATGTTGTGCCATATACGCGATGCAATAGAAAGTTGGCAATGGTGGTTATGCAATCTACGTTATGCCATAGGTTTGCTGTACTGTGCGTTGTGTAATATCTGTGGTGCAACCTGCGTGCTGCAATATATGTGGTGAAATCTGCGCTGTGCAATATATGTTGTGCAATGTATGCGGTGCGCTCTATGTGATTTGATCTAGGTGGTGCAATACATGTGTGTGTTATCTGTGCGGTGCAATCTTTGCGGTGCACTCTATGTGGTACAACCTGTGTTGTACAACACTTATATGATTCAACGGGTGTGGTGCAATACGTAAGGTGCAGTATAGTGCAATACGTGCTGGGCTGTCTATCTGGTGCACTCTGTGCGGTGCAATCTACGCGGTATCATCTTTGCGGTGCAGTCTGCCTGGTGCAACCTATGCGGTGCATTCTATGCTGAGCGGCGGCGACGGCGGAGGCATGGCGACCAGAGCGCCAGACAGGCACAGACGAAGGGCGGCGAGGAGGCGGCGACGGGGCGGCGACGTGGCGGCCAGAGCACCAGACAGGCACAGACGGCATGGCGGCCAGAGCGCCAGACAAGCCCAAAACGACGGGCCGCGACGAGGTGGCGACGCGGTGGCGACGGCAGCTACGTAGCTGCCGGACCGCCAGGCACGCCTAGCTCTGCAGACCATATTTGGGAGAGACACGCTCGGAGGTCCGCGGGGATTTCTTGGAGCGCCGCTGGAAACCCCTCCTCCGTTGCGCGCGGAGCGGGCCAGGGGCTGCGCCAGAGGCGCCGCCAGGGGGGCCAAGCGCAGCTCCAAACAATGCGCGCGGAGCTCCAACAATCTATGTTAACACATTTGTTGTTTCTGAATGCCAGCGTTTCCTCGTCATTCTTGCTCTCGTCCTCCGTGCGGTCCGGTTTGCCAGCTGGGACCGCCGGCGCCTCTTCGTCCAACTTCGTGCTCTCGTGCTTCTTGCCCCAGGGCCACCACACGGCGTCGACCTGAAGGGTGCTGATTGTCTTGGAACTCGCCTGGCCGCCCACGTACAACATCTCCGCGTCCTCTAGAAGATAAAATTTACAAACATGGTACTTTTCAGAGGTCTACGCGGCTTTCGTGGAACGGCGCCAGGGGCGGTTCTGGAGGTGCTATCAAGGATGGGGACCTTCAAAAACTTATGAGGCAACCACATGTGCAACCTATCCGTGCAGGTGGGATGTCCGAAAAGTCGGCGAAGGCTCAGAATTTGAAGGAAGTCTGCAGACCAGTGAACTCCAGGGTTAGCCTGGGTCGAGTATGACACAAACATCCGAACTGGAATCTTCAACACATCTTCTGGCGAATATCAAAGAAACCTTCGCGCCATAAAAATCATTTGGTGAATTTCCGCAAGCCTTTAAATTCTTGGGACCGAACACGAATGTCCAACAACATTTCCCGCGAACATGTTCCAACGATTTCTGCACGCCGGACATGTTCTGGAAATTTGCAGAAATTGGTCCGTATATTGTTTAAGGATTTCTGCGCGCCGGAGATTTTCCAGAGGTCCTTGCACCGCGAACATGTTCCGCAGATTTCGCCCGAGTTTTGTAAAGCTTGGAGATTTCTTTGAGATCTCCCAAGTAAAATGGTAAACTTTACCCCTGATATTTTCCGGAGACTTCGGGAGATTTCCCAACAGCGACTTCCCAGAGGTTCATCACCCAGAGGACTCCAGGCGTCTTTGCCATACTGGCACAATCAACCCCCAGGGGTGTCCAATACCCCAGCGCCGAGTGGCCCTGCAGGGGGATAAGGCTCGCAATCGCTTTTCCCCGACCGACAAGATGGGGTTGTTGTTTCAAAAATCGGGAAGACGCAAGACTCGGGTTGGGGGGAGTCGGGTTGGCCCGACGGGGCCCTGAAAAAAATGACGCGACCCAATCTGAAATCAAACGCGCTCTCTCGCTGTAGACATCCCACGAAAACTGGACCGTCAAAATCTAGGACACGCTCGCCAGAAAACGTCCGCAAGCCTGATATCTGGCTTACTCTCATCCGTCGGCAGCGAGGCGGGGCACTCTGGCCTAGCGTGGCAACGATGCGGTCGACAAAGCGAATTGGCCAGCATGCAGGAGGGGGGAGGAGTCGGGCATTGGCAAAACTGGGTTTAATGGGACCTGGGTTAATGATGTGTACTGGGGGACGCCCACTCGCCACGTTCCACGAACCCCAGCTGCCGTCACCCGAAAAACACGAGCTACGGAAGACCTGTTTTAGTGATTCTGGCCGATTCAAGGGCTCCGGGGCCCTACCACTAGCTGGGTCCCCTTACCTGGGGTCCTAGCTGTACCCGGAGCATGCAGGAGGGAGGAGGAAGAGGAGGAGGAGGAGGAGGAGGAAGAGGAGGAGGAGGAGGAGGAGGAGGAGGAGGAGAAGGACAAGCAAAGCGGCCGTGGGGGAAAAAGGAGGACGAACACTCAGAGGCGGAAGACTTCCGTCATGAGCAGCCGGAGCGGCCCGCGGGCGGCGGAGGCGGCGTCTGGGGGAGTTCCGGCTTACACTCGGGCTGCTGAAAGAAGAAACGTTAAATCAGGAACGAAGCCCCTCTGCGGCTTCAAAAAAAGCCTGTGTGCACGATCAGGGCTAGAGGAACAACCGCGGAAGGACGTAAGGAACATCGAACCCCTTCCGAATCCAAAGTGTTCCTTATTTCAGCGTCTTGGCTGTACTCTAGTCTTACGCTTCCTAGAAAAAAACAACCCTCCCAGGCCTAAACCGTGCCAATGCTCCACCGGGTAACTCCCGCCCTACACCTTCTCGACGGATGACGAGCGCATGCCACGGCCGCCGGGCCCAAAGCAGGAGAGCCCAGAATCGAATCGATTATCATCACTATCAACATCATCACCAACAGCAGCATCATCATCATGATCATCATCGGCATGATCGTCGGCATCATCATCACCATCATCATCATCATCCTCATCATCAGCATCATCATCAACATCATCAACATCATCATCATCAACAACATCATCATCGGATAAGTCTGATCGGCGATCGAGACGAATCGGATCGGCAAAAATCGGCAGCCGAGCCAGGCAAAGTCGAATCGGCGGAAATCGGCAGGCTAAAATGCCTCCAATAAGAAATCGGAGCCCAAATCGGAATCCCAAAATCGAATCGCATCGGAAGCGGAAGCCATCGAGAGCGAATCGAATCGACGAGGAGGAATCGAACCGAGCCCTGCCAAAGTGTGCCGGTGCTCCCTGGGTATCCCGCCTCGCGCTCTTGGGTGGGGATCGCTTGGAGCAAGGTTATGATTATCCGCGCTCTCCGGCCCACACTATCCCTCATGCCTGGCTTCGGTAACGATTCAAGCGCCATTGTCTGTTTTCCGCTTCGGTGAGCAGTGCTTTTACCGTTCTCGTAAACAACATTTCCCTGCCGCTGAACTGTAAAACAAGATGTCCCTGCTTTCTTGTTCTCGTGAGCGGTAGCAAGCACTGAAGGCCGGTTGGAGGCCGTTTGGGCTACCCCGGAAATCCTGGGGGCACCTTGGCCCAGGGGCACTTCTAGCAACACCCGAAAGACGGTTCTGGTTCAACATGTGGCTCTCGCTTGAGCGCCGCGCACACTCGCCGTAAATCGTGGAAACCAGTGTGACGGGTTCTGATGCTTAGCCGTCCCAAGAATGGTGTTCCGGCACGGTTTGGGGTTGCCAGGGCGCAACAATCACGTGGCTTCGCGGTGTTTAGATTTCTGACAGGATTCAGAACCGTCGGGACGCAACAGCCGGCAATTTTGTCGGGACGATGCCTCCCCGAGCTGGATGCTGGGGATGTCTCGAGCGAGAGGGGGGGCCACACACTGCCGTCAAACTGTCCCTGCCGTTTCTCGTCCTCGTGAGCGGCAACAAACACTGCCCTGCCGCTACCAGGGCCAAAACTAAGCCGCAAACAGCAAGGTCGCAGACTGCCCAAACTGTGCCGGTGCTCCCCGTACGGGAACACGGCGCTCATGCACCGCCAGGGTTAGTGGAACACAAAGTGACATAAACAAAAAAACTCGGAGGCCCGCGTGGATTTCTCGGATCGGCGCTGGGGCCCCCCGGCGGCGCCGCCCCTGGCGCGCTCCGCGCGCCAGGGAAGGGGGTCCAGCGCCGATCCGAGAAATCCGCGCGGACCTCCGAGTGTTTTTATATGTGTATGCCACTTTCTGTTCCCCTGAGGTTTGGGCTCCCGGCAAAGTCTTTCCTCAGCGCGGCGCGGTGCACACGCGTTCGGCCCTGGGGGCCGAGCGGCTGTGCGCCGTTCCGTTCCCGGCGCCTCCCGGCAGACTTGAAGCGCAGTGCGGCGCGCACAGCTCGTCCGCGGGCCCTGGGCACCCTGCCTCGCGCTCTCGGCTGGGGGTGGCTCCGAGCGCGACTTTTGATGAGGATCCCTGCGCCTCAAGCTCCCGGGCCTGTTCAAAGAAGACGCGTTTCGCCCATGGACGGCAGCCGCCACATAATGCGAAGTGTGAAGCGATGCTTGACATGGTCTTGCACAAACAAGCGAGGACAAAAGCTGTCAAACCGTGCCACCCCAATCTCTCTCGGGGCATGTGAGACGGATTAAAGCCCTGGTACCACTCGCCATTCCCATAGCAAAAACCGTCCTAAATCAAAATCCGCAATTCCTCCCCCAGACCCATAGTCCTCCGACCCGCAGTACCTGTCCCAGACCTCCTTGCGCCTGCGGCAGCCCTCGTCGTCCAGGCCGCGATCGCTCGCAAGCTGGTCACGCCGCCACGCCTGCGTCCTCATCGGCTGCCTGGGGCATCCCGAAGACATCCTCGGGGGGAGCAAAACAAGCAAAGCATCGATGGCGCGCCGCCGTGGGGAATCCCTCGCCGTGCCTCTGTGGACCAGACACTCCATGCCTTCAGGCAAAGGCGAAGAAACACCACGCCGATGGGCTCCACGCGGCATCGTGTCATCGATGCGATCGCCACGTGGCCACGAGAACGAGGGTCAAGAACAAAAAACCCTCCTCAGAAGGCCCCACGTACCCCAAAACGATGAACACCCCAATGCGGGCCCAAAAACGACGAAAAAAAATGTACCCTCCAAAGCTAGGGCGAGCTAGGGCGATTCTTCATCCTCGTGCCGGCGCCACGGGCAAGCTTTTCGCCTCAATCGCTTGCGTGCAATAATTATGGACGCCAGGGTCCCCACGCAATGAGCGTCGTGAGTGGCTGGTGCGGGGGGAGGTGGACCTACCACTTGCCCGCCGCCGGGTGCTGCTAATCTGGTGGTGGGCCGCTGGCCTGGATCGCCCCCCAAGGCCAGCGGGGGGTCCGTCCGCCCGTGCCGCGCAGCGGCTCCGCGAACTCGCCGACGCATCATTGCCATTGCCACTCTCCTCGTGTCGAATGTACGGCCCAACCTGCGACAGAACAACATCTTCCAACATCATCGGGAATTCCACCGGCTAAGCTGAAACAAAAACAACAAAAAAAACACATAATTCGAAGGTACCCCCCCAGGATGTTCAAAAACATTCGAACAACACGAAGAGCATGAAGGTAACCTCCCCGAGCCGACCAACATCATATGTACCTCGGGCCGTCCGCACTCGTTTGTCCTCCCGGCTCCTCATGTAGCAGCCCGCGGCGGGAGGAGGCCCATCTCGGAGCTGCAGGTCGTCGTCCATCTCCATGACGCGCCCGAATCGACGCAAGTCCTGTGGGAAGACCGAACGGAACTCCATTAGGGGGCCACATGCGAACCCTACCCCTACCCCCCACGATTTCTGAGGGGGAGGGTGGGGTTCACTTCGTTCGAGGGCTCCCGAGCGAAGTGAACCCCATCAAAGAAAATCGACGTACTGACCGAGCGAACGCTAAGCAAAGAACGAAACGCATCTTTGGCCCCGGAAGCGCCTAGATGCACAAGGGGGAGTCGAGGACCGACCACGGAATGACCGAAGGAACAGCGAGCCCCCTCCGGACCCAAAGCGGTCCTGATATCAGGGTGTTGGCTGCAATTTCTCGGAGGTCCGCGCGGGGGGAGGGAAGGCTGAACGCCGACCAACAATATCCGCGCCAAATTCTGGAATGTGATATCCGTTCCGCATGCCAGTGCGTTCCTCTCCGGATCCGTTCGGCTGGTGCCCGCGCAGTGCATCGTCTCGTTCGCCGCCTTTTCAACGCGTCGGGCTGCGAACCATTGTGTTGATGCGGTTTTCGAAACGGTTTCAGGGGTAAAATGGTGTTTGGGCTAGAAGCCCCCAAAAAGACTGGGCATGGGTTCGCCGTTGAAGGCGGTCGAATGCCTGTCGGAAACAAGTGGCACGCGTCCCCTGGCCCTTGCACAATCAGACAACCAAGGGCGGGGGGAGGAGGACGGGCAGGAGTCGAGCGTGCCGAGGCGTTCGGTCTTGCCTCCGCCGCCTCGCAGGCCGCGCGCCCCCGCGCGCAGCCGCGCCACGGCCTCCGCGCCTAACCCCCACTCACACGGGCGCTCGCGGGTGAGGAGCGGGCCGCAGCGGCCGCTCGGGGTACGTGATTTTGATGAAGAGGATGCGCAACGGCTCCATGGACTCCGCCAGCACAGGACGGGCAGGATGAGGAAGGGGGGCGGGGACCAGGGCTCCCCGTGCGGAGCCAGGGGGCCAGACGCGGCCTCTGCACAGCCGCCCCCGCAGTCCACGACACATGGAAGGCGGCCCAGAAGGCCTGCGCGCGGTCCACGACGAGGGCCCCTGGCGGTTCATGACGAGGGCCCTTGGGTGAGTGGATACGAAGACAGTGTCATGTCGAAGGTCTTGGTTTGTCCTCTCGTGCTCGTCGTTGTCTCCTCCTCCTCGCTTTCCTCTACATCATCATCATCATCATAATCATCATCATCATCATCCTCATCATCATCATCATCATCATCACCATCATATGCACCATCATTATCATGATCAGCATTGCCATCATCATCATCATCATCATCATCATCATCATCATCATCATCATCACCACTGCCGTTGCCAACGCACACGCACGCACATATATATATATATATATATATATATAGATCCTGCAATTCCGAACGTACTCGTAGTCAACAATTTGTACGTCCGATCTCCTCCTCCGCTGCTGAAGTGGTGGCCCACGAAAAATTCATGCCTCGGTCCATCGCAGGACTTGCCGCCGTCACTAAAACGCGCTGCGTTTCATGACCAGTGGCGGACACTTCACACGAAGCGCGAAATTCGCCCCTGAGTAGTTTCGCCATGCCGTTTCTCATTGGCATGGGGCTTCTCACCCTTGCGGGTCATCGCCAGCAGGCCTTTTGCGCGCGAGCAGGCTTCTCGCCGCCAGGTGTGGGAAAGACCGCTTTGGCATGGACGCGGCTTTGGTGGCCTCGATGACGCGTCGGACGGGCCGCGCGGCATCGCCATTACTGCGGGGTGGCTTGGCGAATCTGCGGGATCTTACATGCTCTTTCGATCTCCCCTGGGCGGTCAGAGCACGCCAGGCTTGCGTTGCCCTTTGGGGCGATGAACTCCTGGAAGCCACGCAATGTCCAATCAGCGTTTTTACGCGATGCCGGACGCCAAGCAATGCCTGTAGCCCCCCTGCTGAGAACAACAGGACAAATAATATCCCCATGCAGCGACACGTCGCGCTCGTTTCATATTCGAACATGGTCCGTGGTGATTAGATCCCCGAGATCGTTCGGCCAATCGCCTGCAGCACGCACGCGCTGCGACCCCATGCTTCCTATCATCTTGTGAGGCTGATCGCCGATGTTGCCTAGCCTGTGCCTTGGCGCGCTGGCGCGTCGGGCAGTCGGGGTGCTCCGTTTCGAGCCGCGGGGAATGGGGGGCGGGGGTGCGACTGGTCTGGCCCTGAATAGCTGGCCAAGATGCCGCCGTGCGTCTACGGTCGGGGCGCCGCCCGCGCGATTGCCGCGGGCATGCTTATCCACAACGGTCGCATCGGCATTCGCCGACGCTGAACCCTGAAGCGGCGGACTTCTCCGCCGCAGCGGAAAAGGCGCATTGGTAACAGCCGTCGCCATAGCAACAGCAACAACCACGGGTCGTGGCTGAACATCGCTGTCGCCATTGTCACTGGGCGGCCGCGGGTCATCTGGACCGGCGGAAACGCTAGCCCCCGCCACCTCCATGCCCGGCGGCGTCTCGGAGGGCGGGGGCCTCCCAGGTGTTGTCCCTGATATCGACGTTGTCCCATGGGGCCGAATGAGCCATGGCGCGTTCGACGATGGACTGAGCTTCCGCGTCGTCCAAGGGCCCTGGCAGAGCAGGGCCCTCGGCCTCAAGACAGAAACGTCGCGGGCAACGCGCTCGGGCGACTGCGCGGAGCACGCGGCCCCGTGCATCCTGTGCGCCGCCGCCCCAGTCGACGCATACAATGTAACAAATCTAGCCGTCGCGTCGAAATCTTCCCTCCTGGGCAGCCGCGCCTCGCTGCGAGACGACCCTAGCCGATTCCAGTCACGTGTGATCCAAGGCGCAGCAGAAATCTCCATTCTGTCTGACTCACTAGTAGACGTAGACCTCACCTCCAAAATTTGGCAGCGCCTGACCAACCTAGGGGCGCAGGTCAGACTTGCGCTCATGCCTTCCAAGTCAGCATCGTTGGTCTGTTTGAAAGCTGCCGCGATCACTGGCATCAGCCCCCGCCAACACAGCATCGCCAACACCGTCTTGAGCAACGGATCTCTCCGCCGCGACGTCATCCGCCCGCCCGTCAGCAGCAGTTGGCCCCGCTGCAGCTTCGCCGCGAGCGTGTCCTGGCCACGCCGTGAAGACTGTGACAAATCAGCGCTGCACATGGGACGGCGTCCCCGATAAGGGGCATTCCGAAGACGCGGGCGGCAGCAGCGCGCGAGCTACTTCCCCAACGGCAGCCCGAGTGGACGAAGCTCCACCAGACCATGCCAGCGAGGCAGGCCCACGGCCCAGCGCGGGCTCAGGGGCCCCAGGAATCTGACTGCGAGTTCAGGCCATGAGTCGCCGGTGAGCCGATTGCGAAACCGAGCGGCTGGGCAGGTTCAGCGCGGGACATTGCCCCTAACTTCGAGCGAGCGTGTACGGTCGCAAGGCATAGCGAAGGATGCAACCTCGGGTTTCCCGTGGTAAAACCTGCACCCATGCGCGTTGATGAGTCACCCCGCAGAGAGCGCAAGAGGGGCGTCCTCAACGACGATGATGGACCAACTTCGCATTCCACGAGTTGCTCGCCAAAGTTAATATGCACGTCTTCCTTAGGTGGTGCTGTTCGCTTCAGGTCGCCGCTGACGATGGTCGTCGGAGCCCCAGACGCTGACGTTGTTGTTGCGCGGATCAGTGTCGAGGGACGCACATGGAACATCAGTGCATGTTGACCCAGATGGCCGGACGATCATCGCTGGATTTGTCGTGCTCCGCTTAGAGAAATTTCACCCTCCAGCCGTCTTGCGGCCGCAGGGGCGTCTGCTTCCACTTGTCCAATGAAGGCACGGAAGTACCCAAGACGTTCATCACTGGAAACCTCGGGCGGGCCATCTGTCGCACAACGGTCCTGTCTCTTAATCTGGTCGAGCAACGCGGTGCTCGCAGGTATCTCGGACATGTCCACCTGTGCGTGACAGGCTATACTGTTGGAGCAGGAAAGTCGACCTCTCATTCAGCGTCGCGCTGGTCTATTGGTGGGATGCCACCGCCGCGCCATGCGAACAACTCGTCGGGCGCCCTCATGGTCGAATTTGGAAAATGATCAACTCAAACTTCGATTCTTAAATCCCTCGGGGCTCTAGAGAGCAGTAGGCTACTCCGCCGCTATGATCCTCTCCGCAGAGACTCTCGGCGCTGCGGTCTCCGCCGGCGGGCGCGCTGGGAGGGCGGCGGCATGCGCGCGCTTCCGCGGCCTGTCCTTGGACTGTTCCTCCGGTTGCTAAGGTCATCCTTGCGGCTGCTGCCCGCCTCGGGCTGTGCGGCGGCGTTCGCCCGCGTCCTATCCGGGCCGGCAGGGCGCGACCTCTTCGATCTCCCAGCCGCGGCGATTGCTTCCTGGAACCACCTGGGAAGCGGCTCCGGCTGGAGCTTTCTGCCCATTGCTGCGCCCCTATCCCTCTCGCGGGCCCCCATTTCGGCGCGCGGGGGAACGATCGTGAATTGCCGCGTTTGCGGCGGCGACTGTTTCTTCTCTCCCCAGGTCGCTGGGATCCTCAACTCGGACCTGGCGTTGTAGCAGGAGCACCCGACTTCGCTAGATGCGCGAGGGCGCACTTGCCGCCTCGGGTGCGATTGCCCTTCCGGTAAAGGTCAGATGCTTTCTGATGGGGCTCTTTGAAGCCGGGTCTACCGCGCGCGCCGCCAATGGCATGCGCGCGACAGAATGCGCCCAGATACTTCGACAAATCAAGCAGCGGATTGCCCTGCCGCAGAAGCTATCTTGCTACCCTTCAATCCGCATGTGCGGCCCAAAGGGCATCCGTAATGCTTCTACCTGCGGCCATGGGCGCCCCCCCGATTTCGGTTGCAAACCAGCAATTTTTGGCGTTGGAGAACTTCTGGCGTCTATCGTCGAACCGCTGACGCGAATATTCGGGTCGCCCCGCGCTATCCTATAATATGTGTCCATATCTGTCTCCGCGTCTCGATGTTTGCTCTACTTGCGACTGGGAGAGGGCGTCCGGAATGTTGCCAGCAAGGGCCGCCTACAGCCCGAAAGCTGCACGGCCCCA